CCACACATACACAACAATCTCTCTCTTTCTCTCTCTCTCTCTCTCTCTCTCTCTCTCTCTCTCTCTCTGACTCTGCTTCTTCCAGGCTATTTGGGATGAACATGACAATAGCACGAGACTATTGGAGAGGATCGAGACTGTCAACCGATGGAAGGAGATGCTGGACAAGTGTCTTATGGACTTGGATGCTGAGATTGACACCCTGATACAGGTAGAAAGCCTGACTGAATGCCAAGACACTGCTGCAAAGATTGACCCTCACGCCCCACTTCCAGGTCTGGGAACCCTTGAAGGTGGGGGGGGTGGTAGAATGGGAAGGCACAGTCATCTGACTCACTCAGCTAGTCCCCTCTGCTGAAGTAAGGATAAGAACATCTTCTAGGGCATGGCCCCCCTTGCCTCCCGTGCTCCTCTTCTCTAGATGAAGGAATCAGCAGATCAACACCTGCAGGCCAAAAACCTGCCTCTGGATGTGGCCATCGAGTGCCTAACCCTCCGGGAGAGTCGGCGAGACATTGACTTGGTGAAGGACCCTGTGGAAGATGAGCTCCTTAAAGAGGTGGAGATCATTGAGGCCAGCAGGAAGGCTTTGCAACAGAAGGTCAATGAGGCCTTCGAGCAGCTCTGGTAAGAATGAGGAAGACAAGTTTACATGCATTTGAGACTTGAGGTCTTGAATGCGCAGCAAAGCTTTGTGGGTAATGAGGAACTGGCTCCTGTATTACTTTTTGTCCCTCCCAAGTGCTCCTGAAAGAAACCACTAATTGCCTGTAGTACTTTTTCCACTGTCTGGACCTAGTCTCAGAATCCTTATCAGGATCCCACTCTAGGCAGCCATTCTCACTTGATGGGAAGCATGGAAGCTGAAGTCCACTTGCCACTACCCTGAGTGGCTCATCATGAGTGTCCGTGTGAGCCTTTGTGAGTGTGACCACATAGGTGTACCCCACAGATGTGTACAAGCACTCAAGAAGTGTAATGGTGTTCTCTGGGAAGCTCATCCATCTCCACGCAGGTCTCCAGCTCAGTTGTGGCAGGAACTGCATTATCTTCTGCTGGGAAAGCTTCCCAGACCTCCTCCTACTCACTCCCCCCCAGAATTCCCATAGTACAATGAGGACTGCATCCCCAGCCTGGCAGGGCCAGGGCCTGGCAGATCACCTTCTGATCCAATCTTCTCTTTTCTCCAGTCTCCTGCAAGATGTTCGGCAGCAGCTCAGCTCTGACCATCGGGGCAAAATGGAGACCTTGGAGATCGACAGAGGTTGTCTCTCTCTCAACCTCACATCCCCAAACATCTCCCTGAAGGTCAACCCCACACGCATCTCCAACAGGTAAGCGGAATGTTTCAGTCACACTCTTCCATCTCGCAGGGGCCACACCTCATGACGCTAGTAATCATTTCTTGCCACTGCAGCTCCCTCACACTCCAGCAGTGGGATGACACCAGTCGGTTCAACAAGAAGCATGCAGAGGCTGAGATGAAAGCTGCTTCAGAGCTGAGGGAGGCCATCAGCCTAACTATTGTTCAGGTGATTGAAACCCTGCAGCCTGCTCTCCACAGCCAGTGAATGGCCGACATGTGCACTCAGTGTTTCCTTTTTTTTTGTCAGTCGTGGGGCTTGAACTCTGGGCCTGGGCGCTGTCCCTCAGCTCTTCAGCTCAAGGCGAGCACTCTACCACTTGAGCTACAGCGCCACTTCTGGTTTTTTCTGGTGGTTTATTGGAGATAGGAGTCTCACGGTCTCTCCTGCCTGGGCTGGCTTTGAACCGCGATCCTCAGATCTCAGCCTCCTGAGTAGCTAGGATTACAGGCGTGAGCCACCAGTGCCCGGCTCAGTGTTTACTTTTAGTTCTCTGTTGATGCTACAGCACCTCTCCCTCCACTTAAACAGCATCCTCCTAAAACCAGGAGTTTACATCTTTCCCTTGCCTGCTTTCCTGTTCTGCAGACCAACAATGAACTCGAAGCCCAGAGAGTAGCTACAGAATTTGCCTTCAGAAAGCGGCTGAAGGAGATGGAGAGACTTTACAGTGATCTCAAGTGGCAAGAGAATAATGTGAGCCTGCCCCTAGAACCCACATGTTGTTATGTGTGTAGAAGAGGTGCCAGGTGCCTTACCCAAAAGCTCTAGACTGGGACCCCCAGCATGAGTCCAATAGGTAGAGAATAGTTCCTTTATCCACTGCAGACTTTGGAAGAGATTGAAGAGATGAAAAAGGATATCCGGCACTTGGAGGATGATCTGCACAGAAAAATGATGAACCTGAAGCTGGTCCATAGCCGGCTGGAATCCAGAACCTTTCGGCCCAATTTGGAGCTTTGCCGGGATGAGGTACGAAGGTTCCCAGTAGGATATAAGTCCTCTTGTTAAGATTTTCTCAGGATCACCTCCAGCATATGCTTCTGGTAGAGTAAACCTGGCTTCCCAGGGCACCCCTCAGGCTCACTGACCTTGGAAACCTCATTCTGCTCCTTTGTCTCCAGGTACAGTATGGCCTTATTGATGAAGTCCACCAGCTAGACACAACCATTGCCATAATGAAGGAGAAGCTGGCTCAGACACTGTAGGTTTGGGAAGTAAATAGGAGGGTGGGACGGTGGCCTATCTATAGGGCCTCTTTCTGCCCAGTGGTTCTTTTGGCTTGAAACTGGTGAGCGCAGCCCAGCCATCCCAACCTCATGCAGAGATGAGTGACCATTGCCTCTTCCTCTAGAGATGCTCTGGATACCCTGTACAAGCACTTGGCCCGACTGCAGGCTGCCATTGCCTGTAAGGCCAACTCCATGCTGCTGGACAAAAAGTGCTTGGACATCCGACGGAAGCTGGTTGTGCCTACTGAGAAGTATGTGCCCCAAGTGGACACCTTCACCCGGACCACAAACCGCATCCTGAGTCCACTCAAAATTGGCCACCTGCAGCTGACCTAGCATTAGGAAACAAAGGAAGGTTGGGTGGGAAATGGGGAAGTGGGCGAGGGGAGAGTGAATCTAATAAACATGGAGACTCTCAACTCAGGCTTTTCTCTGTAGCAGGAAGGGAGAAGGTTCTTGACCCTCTCATGTCAGCCTCTCAAATTCCACCTGCCAAATTCAATTCCCTTAGGGAGGCCCCCTCTCTGGGCTAGGGCAGCAACACCTGTGCCCTAGCAGCTGGCTTCCATCCAGCTTCTCTCCAACTGATGCCTTGCTGGCCCTTCTGATGCCCATGGGGAGGCTAGGATCACACAGAGAGGACTTGGGAATGGGGCAGTCTTGGCCCAAGTGGAGCCAAGAGCTAGAAGAACTGTCCCAGGAGGGATGAGGTGCTTCCCAGAGGGAAGAGCAACCTGCAGTGACCTGATGTTCTGGCTCAGTGTTCACCTTTTCAGAACCATTTAGTGGCCACCTGATTGTGATGCCATTTAGAAGGATGGGGGAGTCGGAAGTGCACCTGGTGGCGATTTACCTCTTCTGGCCGCTGGGCGGCGCCGCGATCCGGGGAGCGGCTTGGAGGCTCTCGGCCACTGGGGGGTGCCTTGTGGTCGTAGGAGGAAGGGGTCGGGGCGGCGGCGCCGGAAGTGACGGCTGATTTGTGCGCGGATGGCGGCGGCGGCGGCGGCGGCGG